TATGGTGGGTGCAATGGCCATCTCGCCCTCGCCCACCCAGGGCCGGCGATTCTCTCCATCCTTCACCTCAAAGACCTTAACGCTCACCATTAGCAGTTTAGGGCAGGGAAAATCATCCGTTACCGACGGTGGTGTCATCGACGCAAATGATGCAGACATCTTCGGCTGCAGGTGCTCTAGCAGCGCGTTTTCGTAACTTGAAAACGCCTCTAGACGCGCACCGATTGCCTCGAGGCCTTGTGCTACAAGGTGTTGCATGCCCTCAGGGCCAAGCAAGGACATCAGCTTGTTACGCCCGTCCTGCATGCCTTGGGGCGAAGAGGAAAATTTCTTCATCCTCCATGAGGATCAGTCGAAACAATCCAGGTGTAGAATGACTACAAGTGCTACCTAGTGCAGCGGGGCTGCCGTAGCTTTGCGCTTAGAGTAAGCTTGATTTAGGTCACCGAATTTACATTCTTCACAAGAACTAGTGCGAGTGTAGCGGATCGCAATCCGCTACCTCCAAGAGTAGATAGAACCTTAACCCAGGGCTAATAAACTCATCTGTTTAGTATGTGAACTGTACTTATTTGTTTTTATCGGCGGCAAAGCCGCCTAATATTAAATGTATAGATTTTCTTAAATATATGTAGTAAAATTTAAATACGTGCATAACTACTGGCTACTACCGTATACTAATTTGGGTGCAGTTACACCATGCCCATCTGGTGTGACACACACACCTGTTACCAGGGTACGTGTATCCCTTAACACTTTAAGTGGCACGATATCCTTTGGACGAAGGCTGAGGAGCTAGCAACTCTTCATCGGATGTTGTTAAAAACATCAAGGCTCCAGTGGAGAAGAAAAAGGGACATTCGACGACGCTGAGTGCGAGTTAACAGTCACCGAGACATAAAACATATGTGAGGAGGCGACAGCAACGCTGTATGCTTGCTGCAAGACGCCGAATGTCCACCCTGACTTAGGATGTGTCTACCAAAGATGCTAGCGCACTGCTATACACCCTCGTCAACAGTATGATGGGGTAGGAAGATGGCGACGTCCGCCTCGAGGCTATGCCTGGAGTAGATGCTTTTCCTGAGATGGACGAGATGTCCCTTGAAAAGAGTTTGGCGGTGCCTTGAAAGCAGGCGACTTAACCAAAGTGGTCATTATACGACCTGTAGAAGAGATCCACCAAGAGGGTGCTGAACACAGAAAGTGGATCTTTGATCCTAAAGAATCCATCGGATCTGCACTATACTTTGATGAAGGAATTTCAAGAGGTCGTCTCCAGAGACCTGCCGTCGGTCCTACCTCCGAACCGAGGTGTGCGTTTTGAGATCGAACTGGTTCTGGGAACCAAACACTGCGTAACACGCCAATGGCCCCTACCCAAGGGGCAGTGTGACGTCATTGTCGTCTTCTTCTATGCCAAAGCACGATGCACGACTGATGCGAATGAGAAAGTCTTCCCATTCGACACCCACTCTTTGTGTTCGGAAGCCGAACAGCAAAGCGTATCTTTAACGCTCTTAATAAGCTCAATGCTGCTACCCTTCCGGCACAAACGCCAGTTCCTAGAAAGGATGTTCTTCAGAACAACATAGTAGGATGTATAAAGTACAGTGCACTCGATTTGGTAGATTGATATTACCAATTGCTCATGAGAGCGAGTGACATTCCGCTGGCAGCGGTTAGCACTCCGAGCGGCATGCTCAGGGAGTGGCTGGTGATGCACCAAGAGCTGTCAAATGCACCAGCAACATTTAATCGTCTTGTGACGCAGTTCTTCAGGCCCCACCGGGCGTATGCACAGACATACGCTGACGGCATCGTCGTTCATAGTGGTGCGGAGCACGGGAGGATGAATGGAGATCACCACATCGTCCATTTGAGAGCGGTGCTCAAGTGCATGCGATTCAGCAAAAGTTCATTTTCGGCGCCGAAGCAGTCTCTTTTTTTGGTATTTCATCGCGAAGCGTTCCCTTTGAGCGGATCCTGCTTAGGTCAAGGCCATTGTGGACTGGTCGGTTCCAAAACCTCGAAACGGAGTGCTTGGCCTTGCCAACTACTTGCACAAGTATAGCGCAAATTATGCGGAAATGGCACGGCCATTGTCGA